CAGAGAGACGTTAAAGAACAGCACTGAAATGATTGCCGAGGGTTTTTATTTGGTGATCTGGCTCCCCTCCCTCACACACACACACCCCGCCCCCCCAGGTTCAGGGGGAAAGCTGTTTGGTTTGACTTTGTACAGTTTTTCCCTCGGGCATTTATCTGTCTTGGTGTCTGCTCTGTGCCAGGCGTTGTTCCAAGTGGTGGAGTCTGCAGTGAGCCAGGCTGGTGTGTCCTTGGCTATCATATACTGTTCAGAGAAGCAGACAGCTGTGCTTCAGAATAAGATTATTCCTGATGAAGAGCATCTGCTGGCACCTTCCCACTCTCGCCTGTGGGGGTCGCTGTGAGTCCGAGTTGACTCGGTGGCACCAATAGCAACAGTGACGGTGAGGTGGCGCCATTTCGCACAGCCATTCCATGTGCTGTTGCAAAAAGATAAACATTGGCCCGTCCAAGGAGGCTTCAGGAAGTTTGTGGGAAAATCCCACTATCTTTCCATTCCATTTTTCCACAGATGTTTTGAATCCCCCACCCCCACCCCGTGAAGGGCTTAGGTTGCTTCACAGATGTGCATTTTCAGGAACAGAATGATATTATTGGCATGCAATGAAAAATACCCAGAAAGTTAGGACCCTGCCCGTTCTCTTGTCATTCTAAATAAAGAGCATGGGGTAAAAAGCTGTATGCCCCTTCCTGCTGACCCTCATTCAGGCATTTTCACAGCATTACCGTCTCATTATGAACTTGCAATTGTACCGAGCAATACTGTGTAGTGTGTGTGGTCACTCCGGGTTCTCACGGCTAACACTGATGCCTGCCACGGTACTCTGAAACTGTAGTCCACATAAGTATGTCCCCAGAACTTGTGGACGGTACTTCATGGGAATTACTAAATTGGGGCCCCCTTTAAATACGCCATCGCTCCTTCCTGTACCTTAGGATCTTCAACTCGCAATTACTCCAAAAATGAGCACTTGTTGGGGCACCGTCTTATTCTCATTCAAAAATGAGCCCATGTGCTGTAGAGGCATCAGGAGGAGCTGTACTATGCCTGAAGCCATTCTGCTGTCAGTAAAGATGAAATTGAGAGTAGTATGTGGCAAGTCTTCACAAAGCTGGCCTACAATTGAGTCCATGCATTTAGAAATTAAACCACTGATTAAGTGTCACAGCATTTGTATGACTATTAAATTATGTGGTATGACTTAACATAAGCATATTTTTAAGTATCTACTTACACATTCACCTGTTAATGTAGCAAATTGGGCACAGCTGATGGATTTTGAAAATAGCAGCTGTCAACCTCTGTTGGAATTGATCAGTGCCAAGATTGTATATATTAAGCCTTATATCGTGTCATGAACATGTATTTACAGTCTAACCAGTAATAAGCATGACTGTCAACTGTGCGTTGATAGGTTCATGACATGTTTGGGCTTTAGATATTTTGCTTGTGTGCTGGGTTTTTTTGTTTCTTTAAAAATTTTGTGCATTTTTAATCAAATGTGTGCAATTTCAAATGAGTATCACACTTTGAGAAAACCATGAAAAATGTGCCAAGTACTCTTTAAAAAGATTTTATCACTGTCTACAGTTGAATAACCAACTCTGAACCTGCTCATCAGATTGCTCCCAAGGCTCTTTAGAATTGAATAAACAAAACAAACTCATGGCCATTAAATCAGTTCCAACTCATAGCAACCTTGTAGGACAAAGTAGGACTGCTCCTGGGGTTTCTGAGCTTGTAAACCTCCTCCCCTGGGTTTGGACTGTAACCCTGTAACTCACTGCACCACAAGGGCTCCTTAAAATTGAACAGTACCGTGGAAATACCTCATGTTGTTTAGGGGGAAAACAAATTAGCAAGACTCGTTCTTTTAAAACCAGGAGTTCTGTCATATCGGTGAAGTTCTCAGCTGCTAACCAGAGGCTAACAGCTCTTGGGGAGAGAGACCGGAGCAAAGAACGCGTCACACGTCCGGAGTCTCTGTGAGTCAGAAACAATCAGACGGTGCTGAGTATTATCTTGGAAAAAATCCTATTCCGAAAGTTCACATTTTTCCCCACTGAATTGTAGGAGCCATTTGCAAATGCTAATTTTTTTAAGATGCTGGAATGTCTAAGAATATAATTTTACTACTTGGAGTTATTCTTTAATTTTTAGTGAAATTGTGACCACTGAACATATCTTTCTTTGCGTGATTTTTTTTTAGTTGTTTCCAAATCTCTCTTCTCTTTTTATGGAGACATGAGACTGCATCTCATACACTTGCTTCTTCATTGAAGTTTAAATCCATATTTCTTCCCCTTCAAGAATTTTATGAGAATATTTATAAGAATATCTCAAGAATATTTATAAGAAACCTGTGGCTCACTACTAAGCCCAAATTATCCTTCTGCCTGATGGTTTGCTCACCATCAACTTTCCGGGACCCGAAAATATTGTCCTTGTTTACTGATCTTGCCAGTCAGTGACAATCTCTCCATCTTTTGCAGTCCCGCGGCGTCTTGTAGTTTTCCATTGCCATCTGCCTGAGCAGGTTGTCCATATTCTAGTCATGTGGGCACTGCCTCTCTCCTACTTGATTTTGAATTTTTTCAAAGCCAGAGCTGTTTCTTCTCTTTTCTTCCCCTAATACTTCTGGCCCATTGGCTAACACTTCAGATGCCCTCAGTAAATATTTGTGGAATGGAATGTGCTAGGGACTCAGAATTCCGTTTCAAAGAGAAGTTCTGAAATCTTTGATTGATCAAATTCAAAGAGGTCAACTCCTATCAGAATTTACATATTCAAATAAGGTGTTTAAGGAACAAATCAACTTGCATTCTTTTTGTTTCATTCTTACCCAATAGCTCTTCGCTACAGCCGCCTGAAAAAATAGAATTGAGGGGGGATTGGTGCCAGCTAGTTCTTGCATAGCTAGTGTAGTGATCTCTGATTAGCTATCAATAGACAAGTAATGTTAAAAGACAGTTGACTTCTGAAGCCAAGAGTTCACTAAACCTCCTGGTTCTCAGTCACATGTGTCTGCATGGTCATCTGATGTGTGGAGATAGACAAAGCAGAATGGGGGGCAGGGGGTGAGGAGGGTGGAACTGCTAGATCACATCATCATCTCTCATCAACGGGAAGCCAAAGATAAGGAACGTGTGTATGATCACCCAGTGAGTTAGAGACATAGTTGGAGCTGGAACTCAGAATTCCAGCCTTCCACTGTAACACCTAACTGTTTGTAGCTTGTGCGTCTATCATGATTGTAGATGGGAAGTGTCAAGTCTTCATCTTTAGACTCAAAAAGACTTCAGTGGGCTGAATACTGGACGTCTCCTCATTCCTGATCTCATCCTATCTTCTGGGTCCCTGTCATGAGATAATGTGCAGAGCTGACTCAGTAACTGACCACCACACATTCTTAAGCTGGCAGAACTCAGAAATGGGCCATCTTCAAACTTAAAAAGGACATCCAAGTAACCATGTCATTTTCCCAAACACTTCAGGCTTCGGTCAAGCCCCGGGGCGGGTACTGTGCTGTGTTGTGCTTATTCTCTTCAGGCGAGAACTAAATTGAATTAAGGTTATTAGTCTCTGTACATTGCTTTTCTATTTCTTGATAAATTTGTCAGTCTTTCCTTTTAGCTACCTACTTCCTGCGACTTGCTAACCCTAGCTAGAGACTGTTTGAGGGGCATTCAGAATGTCTGTGGAACAGCGAGGATAATAGTGTTAGCAACTTCCTAATCTTAGTCAGCTTTTTCATAGAGTTAAAATGCAAAAAGTTAGGCTTCTTTGCACGGAATGGATGCTCATTTATCTGGGGTGTTTTACTCTAGTACCTTAAAAACTGTGTAATTAAATATATTATCCCCAAGTGTAATATTTCTAAAAAGCTGCCTAATAATGATTACGTTGATTATAATAATTAGTAAAAATGTTTACCACCAGTTCTTCATGTTATTAATTTAGATGTTGCTTTACCTGTGCAGGCTATGGCTACATAGGACTTGAAAGAAGGATGCTTTTAAAAAAAGGTGAAAGGTCTCTAATCCTGAGCTAATAGAAACCCAGATTGCCCTAAAGGCTAACAGGAAGGTGCCGGCTGTGTTCAGGGTGCTGAGCAAATCACAGCTACAGCTGTGAAGGTGATTACGCTGAGTGTCATACATCCCCTTTTCAGAACCTGGAGTAGGGCATACTTCATGCTGTGGAAAACTATGCTACATTTTTGAGCAACCAGCTGCAACAAGCATTGCATTTTTATGATCCTTTATTTTTTTAATGGTTCTGTTATATATGCTCTGTATCTACAAAAAACATTTTCTAAGTGTTATATATGTCCAACACTGTTCTAACACTATCAGTATCAAATCATGTAATCCTCATGATGCCATGAGATGGAGTCATTTATACCCATTTTTTTCTGATTGAAAATTGAGGCACAGAATGGTGACATAATTTGGTGCGAGTCATAGAATCACTTAACCAAAGCTCTGTGGTTAGAGTTAGATATTACCTGGCTCTAGAGATGGTGCTCTTGTTATATGCTCTCTTAAACAAAACAAAACCTGTACATCGGTTTTATAGCAAGTAAATGCTTAGCTTATTATATTAGATGTGTTGGTGGAAATAGGTGGATTAACCAGGCCTTCGCCATAGTCTTGTGAGTGTTGGATAAGAATTTAATATCCCCTTCGAGGAGTCCTGGTAGCACTGTGGCATGAGCTTTCAGCTGCTAACAGCAAGGTCAGCAGTTCAAAGCTACCAGCTGCTCCATGAGAGAAAGGTGAGGCTGTGTGCTCTCAATAAGATTTCGTCTTGGAAACTTTATATAGAGTTGCCATGAGCCAGACTTGGTGGGTTTGGACCAGGAAAGGGTTTTGGCTCTTTGTTTTAAGTAAATTTTTAGCTTAATTTCTGTCTGGCTGTTAACTTATGAGTCTTAACTTATGGCATTTTAATCTTCTAGCTTCATGAAGCTTTTTTTATAAATTCTTTTCTTTCCACAGAAACTCAAACAGAAGAACCAACAGCTGAAGCAAATTATGGATCAATTACGAAATCTCATCTGGGATATAAATGCCATGTTGGCAATGAGGAACTAAACTGATATTCAAATTTCCGGCTTGACACACACTATACCTTTTGCTGTCCCAGATGTGTTTGTCTTTACTCCTGGGAAGAAGAGTATGTATGTACTTGGATTCTAGTCACTCAGAGCAATCTAAGTTCCTATTTTCATACTATGGTTTTGCATTACTTAATAGTTTTTTCTTAATACTATTGATTTTTTTTAAACTTAATGTAACAAAGTTTGATAGCATTTGTGTGTTGTTTAACGTTTATGAACTGAATAATCATTTTTTAAAAAGGAAAACAATTTAATTTTGTAAATAAATTTTCAGATTCAATCACTGAGTGTTTTGTTTATTGCATTACTCTCTTAAAAGAAAATTAAGAGGTAAGTATCTTTATTTTAGATGGAAATATAAAATTTTGTCAATCTGTGGCACAATTTAATTAAAATTAAAGGTATAATTTACCATTCAGCTCAGTTTTCAAGATTTAATAAACCTTCTGAACTACTTAAAAGAAGAAAATAGTCCATTTGAGCCTTACTGTAAATAGATGAAATTACCATCAGATGTTTGGTTTTAATTGCGATGCTCTACCTCTAAAAGGAGAAGAAGAAATGATTTAAGAATGACACAAATGGAAACCAGGTGTTGCTCTGCTACCTGCTGTAGTAGGTCAAGCAGTGAGCCTTTCTCTGATGGCCATCGAGGTTTAGGTGCACCGCAACTTCCTGAAAAGTGCATTTTGGTAATGGATTTCAGCTACGATTTAGGAGTTTTTAATGAGTTAACCTTTCTATGAAAAGTGCTTTTGTAGACTACTACTTGGTCTACAGTAAGTCCTTGGTGATCTACCAAGAAGAACTGGTATCTCGGATTATAAATAATAGATCCTCAAAGGAGAGATTGGAGTCTTCCTCTCAGCATAGAGTTTTCCAGCTAGGCCGGGAAGCCCTTCCTGTCCCACGTGAATTCTGGCCCTCTAACAAATACTGCTGTAAGATTTCTCTACTAAATGATAACAAAACTCTTCAGTTAAAAAAAAATCTATAAAAGTGTGTTTAGTTAGAGAATTACTCCTCATTTCTTTTAACTGCGAAGTCTAAATGTGCGTATATAAAAGATCTAGTTATCATTGAGAACTTTGCTCTTTGTCCCAAGATTCTGAACCTTTATATTTTACATTACCCTGGCTCAAGGAACATTTGAGGAATTCCTGCTATGTATACCAGATTATACAGTGTGTGCTGAGAAGACCAAAGGAAGTAAGACATGGTTCCGGCTGTAGTAGGGGAAGACATGCACATGAACTTTTAAAATCGAATGGTATACGTGCAATGAAAGAGGCATGAATAAGCACTCTGGTTCCTTTGTTTTTGCCTGAATGCCTTAATTATATCTATTAAGGATCCATGTGGGGGCATGGATTTAACACTCATCTGCTAACAGAAAGCAGTTTAAACCCACCAGCCGGTCCTCTAGAGAAAATGTGGCCATCTATCTCCCTAAAGGTTACAACCTTGTAAACCCTGTGATAGTCCACTCTGCCCTTTAGAGTCACCATGGGTTGGAACTGACTCAAGGACACCAGGGTTTGTTTTGATGGTTTTAATCTGCAATCTCAGGGATCCAGCCAGTGCTGCGTGTTCAGTGTTGAACTGCAAACCCCAATGGTGGTTCCACAGGGGATAAGAAGACTCTGCTCCTGCCAAGATGGGTGGTCTTGGGAAAACACTAAGGAACAATTCAAATCTGGCCTATAAGGGTCCCTGTTCAGTTGGAATTATTTGGGCAGCAGATTCATTGTTGCTTTTGAATCTAGAATCTACAGTTAGTGCAACTATATCATTTTTGTAGGTATAATTTGGTCAATAGCAGTACATCCATAAAATATGTAATCATTGAAAAGAAAGTGGCACCGTGTCCTTAACAGTTGCTTTCCCCGATTTGTTAGGGGTACTGATTTGGGAGCAAATTTACCTAGAAGGTGAGACAGGAGACTGGCCACCTACCCCTGGAGAGGGAATGTGGGTGGCAAGTGGGTCAGAGGTGCCTTCTTTTCATTGTATTTTTTGTACCATTAAATTTCATAGTTTGTATAACTATTGCTTACACGTGTTTAAAAGGTAAAATTTAAATGATGCAGAAACATACAGCCCTGTCACTGGATGGTTTCAGAATGAGTTGAATAAGCGGTACTCCTAGGATGTGCGGAATCCAGGAACCAGGTTCACCCCAGGCAGTTCCCTGTCTGCGAGCATGAAAGGAAACTGGTGACACCGTTGGATTTTCCTGGGACCACTAACACACACACACACACACACACACACCTCATCTGAAGGTGGTCCCAGGGAGTACCTGCTCAGAGGTTCATTCAGACAGAATCAAGAGGTTTCCCAGGCCAGTGGTGCCAAGGCTGCTTCATGCAGACTCCCCAAACAACCAGAGCAGGTGGCCATCTAGTCCTGGCTCCCTTTTATAGGTCAGGAGCTTGGGCTGCATAGCATCTTCATAGTCTTGAGGCTCACAGACCTTTGCCTGCTCTCAGGTCTGTGGCTCAACAGGGGGAGCCGTGGCTCCAGCAGTGGTTTACCTTGCCCTCCCAGGCGCACCCTTTCAGGTGTGCCTCCCTATGACATGCAGTAGAAGCACCAGAAACCAGGCCCATCCAGGCAGGCAGGCAGGTATCTTTACAGCCCCTAACTGCTCATTGGTCAAAACCCTTCTAAGCGAGCATTAGTTGAATGAGGTGGGGCACTGTCCTAGGCAGCACCACAGTGTCATCAGACCGAGGACAATGGCAGGGCGGGAGAGAACCCAGCGCCCATCACCCAGTCTATAAGGTCCTCCCCAGCATCCAAGTATACTCTTGTCTGGCCTATCACCTGTCATCAGATACCCTGGTGGTGCTGACGTAGTGGTATGATTGAGCTCCTAGCCGCAAAGTCAGCTGTTCGAAACCAGTAGCCACTCCAGTAAAAAGAAACAGCCTCGGAAGCCCACAGGAGCAATTCTCCACCAGAGTTGACTCGGTGATCGTGAGTTTTGTTCGCATCACCTATTAGGACCTGCAGAGGGAACCCTGGTGGTGTAGTGGTTAAGCACTGGTCTGTGATCTGCAGGCTCCATCGTTTCAAACCACCAGCCGCTCCTCTGGATGGAGATTGGGTTTCTGAGTCCCATAAAGAGTTGCTTTCTGGGAAACCCACAGGGCAGTTCTGCCCTCTCCTAAGAAGCTCACTGAGTCGGCCTCAACACCATGGCACAGAGAGTGAGATTAGAGCCCACAGTGCTCTCATTCCATGTGGTTATTTGCTCAGAGGTTTGCTGGTTACTATTGTAAATTTAGTGTTTTGGGATTGGCAACTTCTAAGTTATAAAAGAAAATCTGGGTTCTTAAACATTCTGTTATGGTTGGGGTGAAAGTTTATAGAACAAATTGTTCCCCATTCAAATATTATATATATAGTCAAATATATATACACACACACACGTGTGTGTGTCTGCGTGAACATGTTTCACTTGCCCCCTGGATTCCCTGTATCCATTTTCCCATTTCCCCTGCTCCTTCTTGCCTTCTGAACTTTATTTTTTGTTGTTTTAATGATCACATTTAACCCTCAGACCATCCAAAGTGCTGCACCACTAAATTCTTGGAGTAGATGGAAGTTGCAGCCTTTGGGCCCTGGTCTTATAGGGATTTCTCTCCTCTGGAACCATAATCAGTCCAGCAACATGAATTGGCAAAGCTCTGTCACCAAGCAGTGGGTCCTCAATTCTCAGATACTAGTTTGCCTGGTTGCTCACAAGTCGTTTGAGCGTCAGTTCTGAATGTGCTCACAGTCAGGGAATGCACAGAACACACTGACAAAGTTTCAGGTCTATCGAGCAAAAACTCCCATAGAATAACAAAGAGGAATTTAATCATAACACGTGCCCTCGATAAATTAATCTCTCTGTTCTCCTCTGCAAAATGCTAGGTGGGATTAGTTGATCTCATATTCTACATTAAGATTTTAGTGGCATGTGATAGAACCCCCATTTCAAAAGGCTTATGTCAAACGGAAGGTAGGACGTCCTGGCAGCGTTGGGGGATGGGTGCAGGGGCGGGGAGAGGACACAAGAGAAGCACTTACAGAATCAAAAGCTGTTGAAATCAAGACTGCAGGGCTGAGAACCAAGATTGCATGTTGCCGGGATCCTGTGTGCCCAAGCCCAATTCTGCTTTTCTCTGCTGGGTTTTAGAGAGGTTTTCTTCAAGTGATGGGAGAGACAGCCTTTGGGTGGCCTACCCTCACCCCTTTGCAGCATCCCAGCCTCAAAGACTGATGCATTTCCAACTCCAAGTTGAGAAATCTTGGCCTAGACTCAAATGAGCACAGCTTGGATCAGACAAGCAAACTTTGGGCCGGTTGTGGATTGCTGGGGCAAGGATGGTACCTACGAGTAGCTTGACCTGGTGGCCAGGAGGTCAGTAAGGGTGGGAGTCATGGAAAAGCGCAATTGAGCAGAGAACAAGTACTGCTTGAAAGTAGGGGAGCGGGAACATTGGTGAGACTGCAAAAATGGCCACCACAACCCCTGGTGTTCCTTGGGTGTCATCTGTAGCCTCTGACAGATACGCAGCCTTTTCAAGATCAGAATAGAAAGGTTACAGATAACCATACGCATCATCTGACTATCAAAACATCTGCTAGTCTTAGTTTCCATGTCGCTGAGTGTTCACGTTGACATGTCCTTTGTAGCTGCATTTTTGCAGCTGTTTCAATTAATTGCAAAGCAATCGTGTCAGGCCTTGGCTCGTCTGGGTTAAAGTGCAGATTAGAAAGAATGAGGGAAACCTGAACCAGGGCCCCAGCATCCTGGTAATGACATTATCTTTAAAACGATTTGGGAACCTAAGGCCCTGATCCCTCAGACGTTAGATCCCTGGGCACCATTACAAGCCAAAATATGTTAACCTGACATTTTGATGTAGTTCCAGCTTGGGTAACTCATTTTCTTTCCCTAAATTCCCACTGAAGCTTAAGCTAGATAGAGGGATTTGGGGACCTTAACCTAAATGTATACTTGTCCTAAGGCTTAAAGAGTTTGTTATCTGGAGTGTTCTTAAATTTGTTGAACAAAAGTGGAAATCTTATTTTTGCTAGTGGTCAAGGACTGGTTTTTTTAAAGTTAAATTGAGAAATAACTTAGGCATATTATTTTTTAACACGATCAAAACTCAAAAACTATCACTGCCATCAAATCTATGCCAACTCATGGTGACCCTATAGGAATGGTTAGAACGGCTCCTGTGAGTTTCTGAAACGGTGGCTCTTTATGAGACTTTCTCC